AACTGGAGGTGCTTAGGTTGTGAGACTGCAGGCATCTTGCTAAATCATAAAACACCAACTTCAGTTGCCAGCTGATGCTTATTTTATGATTTGTTGGTGATAGTCCCTATCACCTTCAGTAGGATATGCTTCAAGACTCTCCTGAGCCCTTTCTTTAGCCAAAGCAGTGTAGGGATGTATAGAGGAGTTGCTCTTGTTTTACATCTTTAGCTCATGTTGTCATCAAAACAAAATTAATATGAAGGGAGATATAAAGAGAAATGGTTCTTTTGCATTTAATGGTTAAAACTAGTGACTGGCATTGGACTGACAGTGGTGATCCTCACCCAGGCTTGGACCCTAATTCACACTTCTGTCTTTTTTATTGGGACTGTCAGTGTCTCCGAGATGGAGGTAGCAGCACTTACAAACACCCCAGGGAGTGCACGGAGGGTAAAACTCTCAATACTGGGTGTGTTCAGCATGTGTTTATTCAATCATAAACATATGTAAGCAAATGTTCTTGCTAACTTGGATAATTTAGAGTGGTAATATGGCTTGTAAAACCTCTTCAGCAGAAGTATCGATATTAGAAATATTTCTGTATACCCAGTCAAGCATCAGGTATGAACCAATATAGTTCACACTGCAGATCCATACTGCAGACACCTGGGAACATTTGACCCTTGTCTAGGTGGCCTGTCAAACCACATATAACCATATATTTTCTTCACTGTGAAACACTAAATCTTTCCAGTATTTAATGCTCTTTAATGTCAGCTGGTCTTACAAGGAGACTTGTTAAACTAGTGTTCTCAATTATGGCATTTTAATTTAATAATAATTCAATTAAAGGTGTGTTTTTTATGGGGCATCCACGCTACCTTTATTGGTATTATTAGAGTAACCATCATAATAACAAGGAGTAATTATTTAAATGCTCATTAAAAATTGAGTGGTGGAGAAGAGAGTAACATTGGTGGAAAGATTGTAGGAACCTGATACATGTCTGTTCCTGAGTTCTACAATAAAAGGTGTCCTTTCTTTAAAGCTTGCAAGTTTCTACTTTTCCTGAACTTCTAAAGGTGCAGTAAAGCGGCATTAAAATTCCTTAACTTTTTTATTACTGCTGTTGTAACTTTGTAAAGGGAACCAGAAACATTATCTGGAATGTATTGCTAGAGGTAAAGAATGGCAGTGGTTATGTGGACCTGACTACAGGTCCTCCCTGCAGTCCTGGCAGGGGTTATGGGTGGGTGATTAAAAAGAGGAGAGTTTGTTCTCTGTTACAGCTAATGAAATTATTCAGGCATGCTGAGGGGAGGATTCGTAAGGCACTGGATGTCACTGTAGCCCAGCAGAAAATAGTGAATTCTCAACACTGATTATTGTTTGATGGTATCCAGAATAACTGAAGATATTTTAAGGGAAATTTATCTCCAGGGTAAAGGCACTCAGCATTCAGGGTATACAGAAAGTCATGTACCAACCGGGCAAGGAAGATCTGTGTATCACTAAATGATACAAATCAGACTGCAGAGGACAGATAAATCGGGGGATTCAGGCTGCCTGCTGCAATGGGATGAATGTCCACAGACCCAGGCTACTCTTTTTCTTGTCTGGGCAAACCAACTTGTCTTTTCTCACTATCCCCTGTAAGGGCAGAATTTGGGAGGCAGGATCTGAATTTAGCTTTGTTTTGTGCTGTTGATGAAAGAGAAGAAAGCTCATTATTGCTTTGACATTTTGAACGGAACATAATCTGTCATGCAGTAATGGAGGAAACACATTTTAATATTTCTGGAAAAGACCATCTTTTGTCATAATATGCAGGAAAGGCAAGAGCGTTCAATAAGTTCATAGTTTATAATTACCTGCTTAGGGAGAAGATACTAGAGAGATTTTTAATCTACCGGATAAAAACATAATGAGATCTAATGGTTGGCAGTTGAACTCAGCAATTTGAAATGGAAAGAACACAGTTTTTTTAATACTGAAGATAGTCGACCATTGCCACAGACTACTCCAATACATGGCTCTCTCACTTGGTATTTCCAAATCAAGTTGGGAGAAGGGGGTGCTAAAAGACATGAAGTGGTTCAAATGCAAATCTTTAGGGTGGATGATACCTGTATGTGAGGTGCAGACTAAATTGTTTCCTATGTTTTTCCATGTACATGTAAGTAGGACAAAATATTATGATTTAAATTGCAGGAAGAAAGATTGAGATTAGACATTTGGGGAACCTACATGATGGTAAAGGAGAGAAGGAATGAGGCAGACTTTAGGAAGGTTGTAGACTCTCTCTCTGGGTAGCCTTTGAAGTGGGATAATGGAGCATCTGCTATAGATATCTACAGATGCATAGATAGGGACATCCCTTGGGTAAGGAACTGGGCAAGGGCAACCCTTATGTTTTGTCCCAGTCCTCTTATTCTTTAATTTCATGGTCCTTCCTAGCCTTCAAATCAGTATTTCTGAACCTATACATCTGTGTCTCAGTAGGATCCAACCTTACAAACCTGTCTCATGTCTGAACTCAGTGGCTTTAGTGCAACCTTGAAGCTACTATTGACTGCTCAGGGCTTGTGGCCTGCATGTATCAACTCAGTACATACATCTACCAACTAATGTAAAGATAAAAAACTGTACTTGAGCCATCAGCCCCCAAAATCATGCCTAGCTGCAGACTGTAGGGTTGAATCCACATGCAATTCATTGAACAGTATTAATGAAGTCTTGGCTTGTGCTTAACTCTAAGCACATGAATAATTTCATCACTATCCAACAGAGCACTTCAGTCTGTGCTTAAGTTTCACTGATGTTGATTACTCATATGCTCAAAGTCAAGCACATGCTAAAGTGATAAAGACTGCATATGGCAAAGCCTATATAGGTAGTTGTCATAAAGTGGGTATTTAGGCAGACTTCAGTGCAGGTGGCAAGGGATTAAGATAGCCATATATCAAAAGTAGCCTTATAACAAAGAGTTTTATAGTGTAGGTGCACTGCATTATTAAATATAAGGATCATTCTTGAGCAATATGTGGCTGTTTCAGGGCATGTTTAAAATATTTAGCAAGTTTTTGAATATAAAAATGTTCGGAGTGGATCTTCAAAGACTTTTTGACATTGTTCTGTTCTTAAAAGTGAAGATCTACACTGCTCAGGGCAACTTCTAGGCAAGATAACCATGAAGTGATAACATGGAAATGAACATTTTTTTTTTTTTTTTTTTTTTTTTTAATGGGGAGTCTGGGGAGAGTCTTTGAGGGTTGTGAAAGTTAAACTATATATATACACACAGGCACGCACACACAAACACTGATGAAGCAGTCAGCGATTGGTAGCCAGGTAGCCTGCAGTCAATTTTGCCATTGTGTTGGGGTCTACTGAAGAGAGCAGTGTTAAGGAGCATAAAAGCAAAACAAAACAAAAAAGAAGAGAAGACTGTTTTATGACTGCTAGCTTGTAAATCTTAGATTACTAATAGCACTAATTTGCCCTGTTTGAACGAAAACTAAAAAGCAGGGGGATTTACTTTCCTCACTTGAATTTCACAGAGGTGAAGTTTTGGAGAACAAAATAAAACAAAACATCTCAGTTCCATATAACATGTAGTAGCAAGCATCCAGCCAGCTGCCATTTTGAGGGTAATTTTTTTAATCAGCCATTTCAGTTTTAGATTGGCCTTGATCCTCAGCCTGCTCAGGAATTTTTCTCCTTATGTATGTGCCTTTGCTGAAGTAAATGTGTTGCTGTCTTCGTTGTCGTCTAATACACAGCTGCTTTCTTCCTCCTGTCAGCCCTTGAGCTAAGCAAGGAGAATGCATGCACACACACACACTCACACACTTTATTTTTTTAAATAAAAAAACCCCACAACAAAAAAGAATGCACGCTGTGACTTTAAAAATGAAAGAATCGAACAGCTGTGGGTAATAAATTGATTAATTAGAGTGGATAAAATGAAGGTGAAGGGTGCAGAGCACTCTTTAATTTGAAGATATATGACCTTGTAAGATGCTGCACTTCATTTGCTATTAGATCACACTTCAGAAGGGGCTTTATTAAAATCTATTCTAGGGTGAGCTGAGGTAAAACATATTGTTAAAAAAAGCGTTTGACAGAGTATGTTATATACTTTAGTCTGCTTCAGTGATTTCTGTCACTTTTTATACTACACATGTTGCTGTGCAAGAAAAGTTAAAGGTCTAGACATTTTCATCATATTTCTGTAAGAAACAGAAATTTAAATATTTGAAGTAATAATGGGAGCATTTACTGTTTCTTTGGCTACAGAGCTGACATAAAACTCCCTAACTGCCTCAGTGCTGAGTAGATTTTTAAGGGATAATGTATCAGTTCCTTTCCATGTTTGTATGTGGCTTTCATTAATGTCAATAGCAGTTACGGGCACTTTTTCCAAGCTGACTACAGTTCCCAAACTTGAGTTTTTTCTCACAGCAGTTGTTAGAGATTAATCAAAGCAACTGGGTCTGTCCTCTATGATGCAGCGTGCAGGGCCGGGGCAGCGGGGCCGGGGCAGCCAGGCAGAAACACTCAACGTGTTTCTCAGCTGTGAAGAGCCAGCTTCTCTGAAATCGGGGTCTGAAGCTGCTATCCACAGCAATAGCTCTACTAAATCAATAGGAACGTGAGGAACTGCACCACATTTATCACCTACCTTTGTAAATAAGTCTCAATCTAATAGATGCTTTTTCCTTTACGCTTTTATGGATGTTCATTGGGTGATAAGATTAGATAGACTGACAGGTTGATAGGTAGGCAGATATTCTTCTAGCCTCCTTGTCTAAGGTTTTGTAGGTTTTGTTAGCAGCAGCCATTCCTGCAACAGCCAGAAGAGGGGAATTCAGTCAGCAGCAATCCTGCTTTGCCGGGTGTGACTGAGTTTAATATTTTTTTTTTTTTTTTTTTTTTTTTAACTGTTATGAGTCATTCCTCTTTACAAAGGTAGTTTCGATAATATTGTTCACCTTATAAACTCTTTCATTTTCAAGCTCAAGCAACAGACTTTTGTGAACTGCAGTCCCCCGATCTAGAAGGGGGTTATGTCATTCAGCTTCAGATCGGAGGTCTTGTGGAGGGGCTGGGACTGGGCTTCGTTCAGGTACGGGTCAGGCAGGAAGCTTGGTTCAGGCTTTGAACTTTCAGGAAGTTTAGTGCCTTTAGGTGCAGTGGGGCAATTGCTAGCCAAAATACGTGCTTTCATAAACAAACAAACTAGCAAGAAATTAATTTTAGGTTTTCCAAAATGGGTAGTTGTTTTTTCAGGAAACCTCCCCCTCATTTAAAAAAAAGCAACAACAAAACAAATCCTGGATCATGTTTTTCAAGCTGACACATATCAGAAGAGGACCACTGTACGTGGCACATCATGGAACAGGTTGCCCCAGTGTGTATCTGAGGAAGCTGATCTTATCAAATACAGAAACCAAAGAGAAGGTAGAAGGCCACATTTCCTTACAGACAGCATTGTACAGAGGGAGAGGGAGAATAATCATCACTCTTTGTAAGAGTGGATAGCGAAGTAGCAATGCTGCAAAGAAAGCAAAATTATTTAGGAACTTGAAGCAGGGTCCTATCCGAATTAGGTGAAAAAGCAATATGCTGATATTAATTCTAAGTGATAAATAGAAATTAATCTATACTGGAAAAATCATCCTCAGAACTATCTGATCATATCTGGTTCTGATTTCACTATAGCTACTC